CAAGAAGCCTACGTTCTGGAAAGAGTATGTGATTTGAATCTATAATGATCTCTTTGTCTGATTAATTCCCCCCAGCCATGCGGGAAAGGCCAAAATGAATGAAACTGCTGTTCCACAGAGGACTGAGCACAAGGACTGTAATTGCAAAGGAATGAAGCAGGACGACCACTGCGGGCTTATTTTCGTTAGGAGGAGCTGATGTTTGCGTGCCCCCCTCAGCCCCATCAAAAGCAGGACTTTCTGTGTGGCCCTTTACACATACACATATGCAAATAGAAGAAATGAGACTGCTTCTGGTTTAGTCCATCCTTTCCATTTGCAAGATTTCCCTACCCAGAGTATAAAACTGACAGCATGTGCTCCTCGTCATCCAAGCCCGGTAAATAACACTTATTCGAAGAGAACATGAAACACCAGTTAAGTCCTAACAAAGAAAACTCTCACATCAGCAAATTTTTTTTTGTTTTCCCAGCTCATGTATCCCCTTGAGATCACAAACATAATGGGTATGAGTCGGCTGGGTCTAGGAGTCTCCGGAAGAATAAACACTACCACTTTTGACATTCTTACTTCCCCTCTTTCTGCCTGAGCTCACAAACTACCACTGCAGAGACACCAGATCACATTAACTGTCCACAGCAAGAAATTTTCCTGCTTTATTGCCCTTAGAAATGGATTTCCTTTCTGCTCGATGCCAGTTCAGGCTCTTTCTACAGAGCTTTCTCAGAGACTGAGGAAAATCAGGAAAATTGGCCAGTGTTTCTATGACCAAAAACAATAGAATGGTGCTTCTGGCTTCCACGATAAAACCAACAGTTTGCACATGACTCTCCAAAAGAGGAAAAAGATGGAAAGAATGTCAGGGTGTGGCTCATTCGACTGCGGCATATGACTAAACTTTGGGGGGGAAAGAGCTGGTCTGATGATTAGAGATTGAACAATGTGTTTTAGCAAATGCTCAGGATGGAGAACACTGCAGAGCCTATGGTTTTAATCTGTTTTGAACATTTCTTTCTGCTCTGTTGGCTCCATTTATTGTTACGATCAAGTCAGCATTCCGGGGTTATGAGTAACAAACGGCTGTTGCTTTATGCAACTGATGGCTTTCTGGGCACTGATTTTTGAGGGGAAAAATGGCTCCCAGTTCAATTTGATGAAACCTAGGCAAGGCCAGTATCTCGTGACAATAAAGTCCATCCTGGCTACGCTTGGCAAAACAGGAAATATGAATGTGCACGTGGGAAAGCCAGCAGTGTTTCTAGGCCACCTTCCCACTAAGAGTAACCAGTTTGGAAACCTATTCCTAGTGTTATCAGACAGGGAGAGAGGAATGGAAAAGAGCATGTTGTTATACTAGTCCAAATGCGTCCAGCCCTTTCCACATGAGTAGGACATTTGCAGAGAAGTGAAACAAGGTTTATGAACAAAATATCAGAAGGTTACTCACTGCAGCCTTATAAAAACTTTTCCCAAATATTTAAGGACCTTGAAATAGTCCCTCAAACCCTGCTTTTGATAGAACATGGAAGCCACTCGAAATGTCAGCTTGTCCTAATAAAAATCAATCCCCAGTGGCCGGCCACCTCCCAGCCCAGCCACTTCTGTGCAGGCCTTCAAGGACCCTCCTGGAACGCCGCTTGCTGCATGGAGCTGCTGGTTTCTCCCTCGGGCTACAAGGCTGCTCGCAGGGAACAGCGTGTCTCTGCTTTCTCACGTAGTGGGTGTGACAAAACCCAAGCACAATGAACCCATTTACATTTGCCAAGTGGGCAACAATCACATGTGCTTCAGAATATGAAAACGAAGGTTTGGAACATTGCACACTGCTGTGGAAGATCTGCAGCCAGCTCTTTGTAAGTGTTAAGGGCTTTTCTGCAACCAAAAAATATCTTTGCTGGAAAGAGAGGCCACTTGAACATTCCACCTGTGAGAGTGAGTCAGACAACACAGCACGAGTGTGAATTTCAGGAGGCACTTCGTTTCTTCCTCTCAGACGGGGCCACAACTGGGCATCAGTACTGCCACGAAGGTGAGGGTAGGGGTTGACCCCAGGACTTACCATCTCCGTCTCTGATTTCATTCCGCTTCTTTCAGAGAGACTTGGACTACTAAATTTAAATCCTTATGGCTCTATCTATTCGATGAGCGGACAGTCTTAGAGTCCATATCTTTTCAAGGTAAAAACTTACTTTGTAATAAAATGACAATTTTTAAGTGTTAAAAGTTTCATATCAAGGGACCAGCAGTTAGCGTAATGGCTATGTGGCTGGACTCCCATGTAGTCGACCACGGTTCGAGTCCCAGACCCTGTGGCTTAAACTCATGCCAGGCACGTGTGTGTGTGTGCCCAAGATCCCGAGAGGAGAATGGAGGAGAAGGGATTGCAGCATGGCCGTCCCCCCTGGGGGGTGATTTCTCACTTTCTATCTCTCTGTCTTTCTCTGTCTGTCTGGTGAGCGCACGCGCCCTATAGCGAAAACCTCTCCAAAAAAAAAAAAAGTTTCATATCAAGTAAATACCACTACTCATGTTAATCCCTTACACACTACACTTATCTATGGTTGATAAGTAGTCACCTGGTTCTTCTTAGCTCTTCCGGTCACCATCCTTGTAGTTATGGAAGACTCCATTAATCTTTTCAAGTCTTAACTTTGACAACTGTAAAATGGGGACAAATTCTCTTCTCATCTCATGAGATTATTTGACATTCAAGTGCAAAAATCTTTTTGAAAAGCACCATGAAGGTGTATTATCATAGTAGGTCAATGGGAGACTTGGATGCTTCCATTCATTCATTCCACAAGCATATACTGAACACCTACTATTTACCAGGTTCTCTGTGACACCGGGGATATAGCAGTAAAAAAAAAAAAAAGAAAGAAAAGAAAAAGAAAAAACAAACAGAGACAAACATCCAGCTCCATGGAATTTAAGTTCTATTGGATATGGAGTCTTCAACACGGTATGTGACAACATCCCTGAAGGCTGAGGTGATAAGATTTTTATGCATACTTGAAAGTCATTAAATTTATCCATCAGGTCTAGTCTAAAAAAGCTTTTATCATAAATGTTTGAGCCAAGAATCTCAAAGACCATTTTAATTATCTGAGATATGCCCTTGGCAGTAGCACTGGAAAAGTTCTCATCTGCAAATGCTCCACACTCCCTAGGTGGCCATCTTTTGGACAAAGCCCGCGGCAGCAGGTGCTCCATGTTCCCCTCAGACTGCAGCTGCTGTTGTGCTTGCTGCCGCCGTCTGCTCTGGGTACACAGTCACCTGAACAGTTTTCCAAGGGGACCTTTCTACGGCTTACAGTGGTAGGTATTGATGATGCCAGTTCTTCCTCATCAGCGAGGGCTGGAGTTGAGAGATCAATGTTCCAGCCTTGAGTCCTTCAAAGGGATGACCCTCAGAGGGTCCCAGCTGGACTAAGCCCAGTGACCCATAGGTGCTCCTCCAACATCTGTGCCTCCTCCACTCTTTCACTCCCACGGTTTCCTCCCTCCTGCTTCCTGGCGTCGCCTCCTAATGAAACTGCCTGCATTGGAGCACTCAGGAACCGCTTTGAGGGAAACCCAAACGAGGATATTAATCCCATATGTCTACCAGCATTATTCATGAGGGTCTGAGACTCATTAAATGTCCAGGAATAGAACATTTCTGGCAAATGGAAAGAATTCAAAGATCTTGGCAGGGTGATTTTCAGATCTGCCCCAAGTTTGGGAATGTGCCGAAAACCCATCTCACTTCCTACCTCCAGGACGTCAAAGTTGCAGGTTGCATGATACTCAACATCAAAGTCGTGGATGGTGAGTTGAATGCTGGTCCCAGGGGCAGTGCGAATGTACCAGATACATTCCTTGTTGGGGGGGTACTTGTTAGGATAGCTGGGGCTGCTGAAGGAGCCTGTGGCCCCTGACAACTCCCCGCCACAACCTGTTAAAACAGCAAGGCTCTGTCAGTTTGAAGTGGGCAGTAGCAACAAGAAAAAAAAAATTAAACTTACCCAAAGTAATTGAAAATACACAAAGTACACAAAGCAAAACATAAGAAAAAAATCATTACATTATAATTATACAATTATAAAACAATGAGAAAAAAATTGTATCTATAACTGATTCAATTTACTCTTTTTAAGAAAACATTGATTATATCATTTGGTACAATAATGTCAACCCTTATTCTCATCATGTCAAATCTTTGATGTTTTTTTCAAAGTGGAATTCTAATTTTGAGATTTTCTTCATTACATCTGGGTAAGAACTATAGTACACAGTATAGTGGTCTCTGTGAGCAGCATTAAAGCAGGACTCCATGTGTTGGGGCCTTTAGTAGAATGGGAATTCCTTGTGTTGGGGCCTTCAGTGACCTTAGAACTAAAGTATTATTTCTTCTCCTTCTCCTTCTCCTTCTCCTTCTTCTTCTTCTTCTTCTTCTTTTTCTTCTTTTTTTTACTTTTTCTTTTTTGGGGGGGGGGAGAGATTTTTACTATAGGGTGCATGCACTCGCCAGAAAGACAAAAAAGTCTCCTCTCGGGACTTTGGGCACGCACGCACATGCACCCAGTGTGAGTTTTAGCCACTGGGTCCAGGACTCAAACCCTGGTCAACTGCATGGGAGTCCAGCAACATAGCCATTATGCCAACTGCTAGTCCCAACAAATTATATTTTTTAAAAATATATAAATTATTTGGTTTTCCAATAATAATTTTTGGTGATTAAAAACATTTTTTCTTCTGTTAACGTTTCTCAACCTTCTTTTCTATTTTTCCAGAATATTCTTTACTGGTTGGTAAATTCTTTGTAGTACTTTCTCTTAGTCTGCATCAAGGCTTTTAATGCTTAAAAACAATAGGACCTCCTTGCTCCATTATGAATAAATATAGATTTCTACATGAATGAAATTAAACTGCCATGACTTCAAAAATGAGATACTAAATCTGAGGTGTTGTCTAATGTCTAGGAATTTAACCATGTAAATTTCTCCTCTATAGTGAACTGGAAAAGTTTTTAAAAGGTTTTTTTTTTTTTTTTTTTTTTTGGGGGGAGAGATTTTCATTGTAGGGCGCGTGCGCTCACCAGACAGACAGAGAGAGAGACATAGAGACAGAAAGCGAGAAATCACCCCCCAGGGGGGATGGTCATGCCGCAATCCCTTCTCCTCCATTCTCCTCTCGGGATCTTGGGCATGCACGCACACGCGCCCGGCGTGAGTTTTAAGCCACCGGGTCCGAGACACGAACCGCGGTTGACTACGTGGGAGTCCAGCGACATAGCCATTACGCTAACTGCTGGTTCCCAAGTTTTTAAAAGGTTTTAAAAAATTATCCATACAGAATCCCCATCTAACTGAAAAGAGCTGAGGAGAATTCTAAGAAGAATCTTTATTTGGTAAGGGAATCTGATTCTAGCTCAAAGTGTCACCATCTTCTTCAGCTGCCAGTCTCCTGCTTCCATGTGAAAACTTCTGTGCTTTTAGACTTTAAATTTGTTGCCCAGGGCAATACGTATCTCTCTGATAGCATATAAAATCCCTATTTTTATTTCTGCTTAAAGCCCTATGAAAAAGTGCTTAAAATTAGACGGGCTGACATTGTTTATAGACTCAGTGAACGTTAAAAAAAATAAGTGCCATAAAAGGTAGGGGAAACATTCAGCGCAGATGGTACTTACCATATCTTCAGTACCGCTGCCCAGCTCTAGAGGGCACCATTCACAGTACAGGACATAACGGTGTTTCCTGAAGCTGTGCAACACCATGACCCATCTATTAGGAGGTAGTACTTTTCACTAAAATATGTGATAGGTAAGCAAAGCCGATCTGTTTCCCCAATTTCCTGACCTACATTTTCAGATCAGAGGGGTCTTGGTATTAGTTGTATAAAAAAAAAATCCAATGGAAAATCTTTGAAGGAAAGTAACTTTGTGCCCCTATATAGCTATAGAAGGGAACACGGACATGGAAGGGGGCTCTCTCATCTCTGCGTTTCTACTTAGCTTCAATTCATCAGTCAATCTAACTCAATTTTTTTTTATCCTACTAGATTCATCTGAAACTATGTATATAACATTTTTCCATTGTCTCTTCCAATTGTTTTATGTTTCCTTTGCAAATAACAGGATACTAATGCCCTCAAATTAATCACTATAAACTGGAATGGCAGTATCAAATTCTTGGAATTCAATGATGCTTTGACAACTACAGCACAGCTCTGTAAGCCCAGAGTGTCCTTTTCCCTGAGATTTAAAACAAACAAAAAGTTTCACTAAAAAAAGTGAAACTTTATTTTTACTTCTGTTCTATTCTCATCGACAGTTCCTGTGTGTTTCTTTTAAAGAGAAATTTCAATATTATTATAAGTGATGATATCCTGCCAAGGAAAAATATTATGTGATTGTGAGGAAGAAACTGCTAAAACGTGAAAAGTCTTTGAAGTTTTCTTTTTCTCCTTCAGGCTCTCACTACTCTGTGGTTTAACATATCAAAAGACGGCACACTTGATTTAAAAGTTCACATCAAGTCCAGAACAGAAAATTCAATTTAGTAGTGTTTTAGGCCAAAACTCCAAAGCATTAGAAAATAAAGTTAATTCTGATCATAGAAATTTAACTCCATCTTTGTATTTCTAAATTTTGAAGGACACAAAATAACTTTCCAATCCATTCATTCATTCTTTCACTCCATATGTATATTCCATAGTATAAGCAGTGTTGTAAAAACCAGGTATATTTAATGTCTCTTTCAAAATTTATAGATACTTGGGACCAGCAGATGGCATAATGTAGTATGCTGGACTCCTACATAGTCAACTGTGGTTCAAGTCCCAGACCTGGTGGCTTAAAACTCATGTCGGGCACGTGTGTGTGCCTGACCAAAATCCCAAGAGGAGAACAGAGGAGAAGGAACTGTGTTGTGGCCATCACTTCAGAGGATGATTTCTCACTTTCTGTCTCTCTGTCTCTTTCTCTCTGGCGAGTGCACACATGCTCTAGCAAAAACCTCTCTTAAAAAAACAATTTATAGATACTGAAAGTGCTATTACACACCCCCCTCTGCAAGCTAATAATTCTTTTTGTTTCTTCAGTTTACAGAGTAATTTCAATAAGTTTTGATTCAAAGGAAAAAAAAATCAATGAATTTATTTCATCCTTTACATATCACTCTGTGTTAAGTTACAAATAAATCAATTATCATGTCCTTGTCAGTCACATTTGTGACTTTGTGTACCTGACCAAGGGAACAGGAATGAATGAGAAAGAGAGTCGGAGGGTAGACGAGGCTGGAAATGGGAGACGTGATATCAACCAGTAGCTATCAGGAACTAGCACAGGAGGTGTAGTTCAGACTAATAGCTCCTTCCTCAGAGTGTTGCCTGTCTGGTGGAATGAATTTATAATAAACTGCAAATCAGAGAAGTTTTTATAAGTAGATAACTGTAATCAAAAGTCGATGACAGGGACCAGCAGTTAGCATAATGGCTATGTCACTGGACTCCCAAGCAGTCAACTCAGGTTCGAGGCCCAGACCCAGTGGCTTAAACTCATGCTGGGTGCATGTGCGTGCATGCCCAAGATCTCAAGAGGAGAATGGAGAAGAAGGGATTGCAGCGTGGCCATCCCCCCTGGGGTGGTGGTGGTGGTGATTTCTCTCTTTCTGTCTCTCTGTCTCTTTCTGTCTTTCTGGCAAGTACACATGCCCTATAGCAAAAATATCTAAAAAAAAAAAAACTCGAAGTTGATGACAATGATTTAGAAAACATACAGAAAATAATAAATGATGAAAATACCAACTAAAAAGAGACTAATGGTGTGATTAATAAAGAGGTTTAAGAGCATATATTTAGATATACTCAATTGGCAAGAAGGTTTCCATGGGAAGTACATGATTTCATAACTGGCAAATTAGAGTGCAGAACTTTTGGAAATATTATATCATACCAGATAAACCACGGGTTCTGGCCTAAAACAAAATGGGTTCCAATTCAAGCTATGTGATACTTCAGGGATAGCAATTTTATCTAGCTAATTTTTCATTTCTTCTTCTGTAATAGTATTCTTACCTCATAGGGTTGTTACACTTTGTTAAATGAAACAAAGTGTTTAGTTAAACGTGTTACACTTGATAATCACTACCTACCTGCTGTGTGTTATACCTTAACAAGGCTTATAACTAGAAGAGGAATTACTGGCTAAAAAGCCATCATGAATAACTAAAGAGGGAGGAGGTTATATGTTTATCAAGCTACAAGAAATTTTTTAAAAGACAATTCATATTTTTATGATAATTCACAATTTTCCAAGTGCTTTTTTAATAAGTACATTATCTTATTTGAAATTCATGATGATGTGAGGTAGGCAAAAATGAGAGTGTCAGGTCCATTTTAGAGATGAGCAAAGAGAGGCTCACGCAAACTGTGAGATTTGTCCATGCCCGTAAATAACAGATCTAATAAATTCAGATATTTTGACATCAACAGCACCCCACCATACTCTCAGCTTGAAGTTTTCTCTACTACGCCTTGATGAGCATGTCAGCCCCAGGGCACTGAAATGCATTGCTGAACACGGCCCTCATGACCGCCTGGCCATTGACTGAAGGAAAAAAATCATCATAGCAATCTGCAAAAGCAAATGAAGCAAAAATCTTTTCATTGACGTGGAGGCAAATCTGACAAAATCTAATATATTGATATTATTAGACATCAATAGAACTAGAATAAGATAATGTCCTGGAGAGAGTCATGCATTTCCAGTTTTAAGTAGTTAATCTTCATAAGACTTTCAAAACGGGTGACTGATAATCTGTTTGATTTTATTTTCCTACAAACTCTCAGTCATCAGCTGAAAGGAAGTGCTTACTTTATCAGCAGGCAGCAT